CTAGTCTGCTTTTAATAGTTTCAAGGGAGATTTTGACTTCCTGTATTATAGCCTTCATCTCTAACACTTCCATCTGATTCTTTTGTAAAGTATGAAATTCCTTTTTTAGATCTTGCATGAATTTCCTCACCTCCTGGAACTTGACAACTTCTTTCTCCTTCCTCTTCAGCAGTTCATTGCCTCTCTTCTCTTCTATCTCTATTACTTTTGCCATTATGAATGTTCTGAACTCTTTATCAGACATTTCCATGAATTCCATTAAACTGTGTGTAGATAAAGAAGAGTTACCCTTTTCCCTTGGAGGAGAGGTATTTTCCTGCTTTCCCATATTTCTTGTGGTCCTGCAACAATTTCTAGTCATCTGGTTGATGTTCAGTTTTTTCCCAAACTTGGAAGTTAAATCTGAGTGTTGAGGAGTGTGCAGAAATGGAAACAGAAAGAGAGAAACAACAACAACAACAGCAAAGAACAAACAAGAAACAGAAAAAGAAAAGAAAAAATGAAGATAAAAACTTTTCAATAAAACTAAAAAAACTAATATTTAAAAAGATTTCAATAAAAAACTAAAAATTGGAAAACTGCACGGTGTGCAAGCGTGCCACACAAAATTCTAAAAATCAAATATTAAAAAAAAGAGGAGACAGAGACAGAGGTAGAGTGAGACAAGGACAGGTACAGAGACAGGAGGTCTGGAAGGGGTCTTCCTACCACGCGAGTTTTGTGTGCTGGAGGCCGAATTATCAGTGGGAAGTCTTGATTTCTATTTCCCCAAAATGGCTAAATTTCAGAATTCATGAGGCTGTGTCTTCAAGAAGGCCTATTCCCTTTGCCTCTCCATGTGAGTTTTGTATGCTGGAGGCTGAATTATCAGTGGGAAGTCTTGATTTCTGTTTCCCCAAAATGGCTAGTTTGCAGAATCCATGAGGCTGTGTCTTCAAGAAGGCCTCTTCCCTTTGCCTCTGACCCTGGATTAATTTTAAATTCAGTAGCTATTGCCAGCATTGAGATTCATCTACTCCCTCAATGGGGATCTTTGAAGGAGGTGGCAGGAGTTCCATCTTGAATTGTAGAAATGTCCAGGAGTCAAGTGCAGGGTTAATGACACCATATCTTAACAGGACCTTTGTAGGGGTGACTGTGCGAGGCACCATCCTTTACAGAGAGCAGCTCTATCTGTGGCTGGAGGCAGACAAACCCTCATTTCTTGCCCCACTTTGATGTGTGTAGTTGTGAGGAGCTCGGTTACCCTGCTTTCCCACATTGAACTAAAATGAGCTTTTACTGTCTCAACAAAGAGTCTGACCAATAAAAAACACTAATACTTTTCACAATGCTTTTAGCTTTGCTTACTTACATAGTAGTGAACAAAGCACAGAGCCATGAAGAGAAACTTGGGATTGCCAAACATCTGCCTGTAGGCCAGAGGCTGATTTTCTTAATCTCTCCATGGGAGCCTTTGATTCTCCCCTCTGACAGTATTGATCATTCTGTGCATTTTCAGGGAATGTTGGGAATGGCCTTGAGACTGCTAGGAGGTAGGAAAGGCAGAATTTCACATGAGCTCCTGGATAATGTATGTTTCTTTTTATTTTTAGAAATCTGTTAATGAAAGATCATGAGCAGATGGAAAAGGAAAAGGAATTACTGATGGCACAGGCATACCTGAAGTTTGAAGAAATACAGAAATTAAAGTGAGTTCAGATACTGAAAAACCAGTCTTCAAGGAAACCTGTGTTAGATTTTTTTGGTTTTAATCTTTGGATAATGTCTAGACCTTATAAACACATAAATATAAACAAATAATCAGAAGTGATAGACAGATAGATAGGAGATATAGATACACGCACACCCACACACACACACACACACACACATGGTGGAGGGGGAATAACAGAAGAATAAGCAAAGTACAAATGACTAAATAATTTTAAAGACTATTAATTTCCTGTGGGCATGGGGAAAATTGTCATAAGTCTCAAGAAAACAATTTGATTTAAGGTAAATCACATCCACAAAAATTATTGTGTTGCTTTTATAAAACCACATGTTAAGCCCTGTGACATATGGGAATGTACAACTTTATGATAAAAGATAGTCGATGGAGGAGAAACAAGAAATATTGAGATGTGCCAGGAAATTATGTCAATTGAGGACTCTGTGGGATTTCATAATGGATAAGGAAACTACACAGCAATAGTTTTGATCCTACTGTACTCTTATTCATGTGAAATCGGCTTTCCATTTGGGATAAATTATGTAAGAATACAGTTCTGAGGATTATGTGAACATGGGAGGATTATTTGAAAACTATACTCAATATTGTGCTTTGTGTCTGATGAAAGCAATTCTAAACCACAGAAAAAGAATTGCAGAGATGCAAGATGAAATGCAGAGAAAAGAGACCTCCTTCCAAAAGCAGGTAAACTGCATTCTGCCGATAATTGCTGAATACTCCAGCACCAGCTACTGACTTTAATGGACTGTAGAAGGCCTAAACATACAGTGTTTGGCATGTTTTCTTTTTCATAAGGCCATTTACAAGAGAAAGGCTCAAGACAACTGGGTAAGATTCCTTTCTTTTCTTCTTTCTGTGCATGGTTGATCATGACTGGTATGTGAACATGTTTTTCTTCTGCAGCTCAGGGCTCATGTTGGGGAGAGGGCAGAAGCCAAACAAATCAACAAAGCCAACTTCTTGAACAGAAGGTAAAACACTGGGACATTTATTTTGACAGCTTATTCATGAACTTCTTCAGAGAGAGAGAGAGAGAGAAATGGAAAAAGAATAAGATGGACAGAGAGTATGAGACAGATTTTTACACAGGGTCTTCTTGCTTCTCTATCTACCCCCAGACTGAACCTGCCAGAAATATAGACATATGCTTGTGCATCTGAGAAGATCTTAGGGTGTGAATTTGGAAACTTCCTTTTGGCTTTACCATTTAATAGCATTACATCACCACTTTCCTCATCTACTGGACCAAGGTGGACATTTTTAATGGTGTTCTTGATGATTTAAGATGAAGCTGTTGAGGATGAGTAAAGGACTTATATTTCCAATTTTTATCATGCCCATTCTTTATCTACAAGGTGGCCAATAATGCAAAGTCAGAGGATACCACAGGAACCCAGGCTGCAAAACCCAATGTTGGATGGATCTGGCATGGACATACCTCCATGGGGAGGTAGAAGCATGCTGAAGAGGGGGCAGCTCATATCCTGGTGCAAAATGTGTATTGTTCCTGGGTTGACTGTGATATTGTTGACCTGAGGTTCCCCAGCCTGATGACTCTTTGTCCCAGTCCTCTGTGAGTGGTGGCACTCAGGTTCATCCACTGACTGTGGACTCCAGAAACTCCACCTCTCAGTTACTTTCCACTGAAGAATGTGCCTGGAAGGAAAATGGGTGAGCTCTTCTCTTCCACTGTGAGTCAGGGGTCAAGGGTTCCTATTATCTTATTTTTAACTTGAGGAAAATGATTGGGTCATTGGGAATGTTGGAAGGTATTTTTCAATGTTTCTTTATGCAAAAATGTGTCATGTCTTTTCCGGTGACCCAATACACTAAATTTTTCCATAACTTCATTTAGCTACAATAATATTTAGCCCTATCTTGTACAAAGCACTATGTGTTTTCCATTACTCTCATTACTAGTCTCTTTAAGTCCATTTCTGCTCATATATATTTATATAATCCCTGATCATGGCAGGCAGATTATATAGAAGCCAATATCGAAATAATTCATTCTGGCTGAAAGAAAATTCCTGGTGCTATTCGTGGCATGGGTTTATTGACATTCTTCTTAGCCAACTGATTTTTATTTCTCATTTTTTCCTTTGCTAAAGTTGTAATTTCTCCTGTGTTCACTTTTGTTTGTGATTATTAACTAGTTTGAGCCCTGATCTATCTACTGTTGGTTGCTTTTTTTGAAAACCCCTGCACTATGTTCTATGATGTCTTTTTGAAGGTCAGGGCATGGACTTCCCATTGTCTCAGGGGTCACTTGAGGGCTCCGATTAACCCTCTGCCTCTGGTAGGAGATCTGAGTTTGAGAAGAGTTAGACAGAGGGCGTGAAGGGTTTGTAATCCGTGTGCACAAAACATGCAAGTCAGACTAAACCCCTGTCCTTCTTTGGCTTTAGCAGACACTGGAGGCTGTGCAGTGTGCATGAAGAACAGCAGCTCAATGCCTCCTGAGGACCAGGACAAGGGAAAGGTCAAGGCTGACTTCATATTCCTTGTAAGGATTTCTGGAAAATTTGTCTTTTCTGTGGCCTCTAGTGTACCCTCATTCGTGGTGTGTCCTCTGGTAATTTAGCATGTCTTTACTTGTCAAAGTGCAAAATAATCTTCTACAAGAGTCTTTAGACTTATCATTCAAAGCTGTGATTGATGGTGGAGCCTGAAGAAGCCGTACTTGTTTAAAAGCTGAGGACTGCAGATTCACCTCTGCCCCCTCAGCGAGGAGCATCTGCTTTGTCAGCCAGTGAAGCAGCAGGCCAAGAAGGGCTCTAAGATGAGCTGGTGTGGACTCCTGCTCTGCCTCCTGCCAGCTATGTGACTCTGAGCAAACTCTCTAGTTCCCCTGAGGTCTCTGTTCTCTTCCATTTAGAGCAGATATTCTGTTAGGTGTGTTTAGGTCTGATGTAGCTTGTAGAGTTCTGAGAATCAGAGAGAAGACATGGAAGTCCTGGGGAAAGCTCTCCTATTGGTGGCTTTTACTATATGTGAAGTGACTGGATTTTTTTTTTCTTTTTATTCCTCTGTTCCTAGTCTGAGTCAGATAAGATTCTGGGGCAGTAGTGAGGGAGACATGGGGCTGGCATGTACATAGATGACCCTCTGTCTGCTCTATACCTTAATGTCTTACTTTAGCATACTTCCTCTTAAATCATTAAACGTGTCATTAACTAGGATTTCTTTTATCATCAGTTTTTTTTTAAATCACATAATGCAAAATTTACAACCCCTCTTTTTGCGTGTTCACTAACTCTACAAAATATATATAGCAGTATAATGTAAATGCATTTCAAGATGTAAAATGTTATGTTACCCCAGAAAGTGACCTCATCCTCTTCCCAGTCGAACCCTTCTCTCATCTTAAGTAAAAAATTATCTATTCTAGGGAACCAGCAGTTAGCGTAATGGCTATGTCGCTGGACTCCCACGTAGTCGACCGCGGTTCGTGTCCCGGACCTGGTGACTTAAAACTCACGCCGGGCCCGTGTGCGTGCGTGCCCAAGATCCCGAGAGGAGAATGGAGGAGAAGGGATTGCGGCATGACCATACCCCCTGGGGGGTGATTTCTCGCTTTCTGTCTCTATGTCTCTCTCTGTCTGTCTGGCGAGCGCACGCACCCTACAGTGAAAATCTCTCAAAAAATAAATTAATCTATTCTAGAATTTCATGAACATAGATGCGTGCATGCCCTGTGCACTTTTTGGTGTCTCCCTTATTCTGCTCAGCACAATGTTTCTGACATTATTCATGTTGTTAGATGAATCAGTATTTCAGTACTTTACATTTCTGACTCCGAACATTGATGATGTCCTACATGTCCAATAATTATTATAGCTCTGCTTAATTCACTGTCTTAAAGAAAACATTTAGAGTGAATCTGTTGGATTCTGTTGGGTTTATAGGAACATACAGTTAATTCCAGAGTACTCCATGTAGGGCTGATTTCCAAATCAGTCTGATGTTGAAGTGGTAGTCTTTGTCTTTATTTATATAAGATTCTAGAAGAAATTAATCCCAAGAATCTTAGAGAAATGCCACACTATTTATGCCATCAGTATTATTTCCACCGTTTTTTTCTTTTTTTTAGAAGGGGGAGAGGTTTTTGTTATAGGGCACATGTGTTCAGCAAAAAGACAGAGAGAGACAGAGAGAAAGAAAGCAAGAAATCACCCCCCAGAGTGGATGGCCATGCTGCAATCCTTTCTCCTTCATTCTCCTCTTGCGATCTTGGGCATGCACACACATTTGCCTGGCATGAGTTTAAGTTACTGGGTCTGGAACTTGAAACATGGTAGACTACATAGCAGTTCAGCAACATAGCCATTATGCCAACTGCTTTTCCCTTATCTCCACCTTTTATCTCAGCAGTGAAATTTAATTTTTTCTAAACAATGTCATATATCTACTGTATTTTTTTCTTATGCTGATCCCTAAATGATAAAAAAAGTTTATAATCCATACCATCAGTGGCATCATGGTTCAGGTGGCTGAATTCCACCTGGACAACTTGCAGTTTGAGTCTCAGACCTGGATAATTGAGAAACACTCCAGATCCATTGCTTGCATGCCCAAAATACCAAAGGAGAAATTCAGAAGAAGGGACTGTGGAGTGACTGTCCCACATGAGGGAATGCTTTCTCACCTTTCTTCACTCTCTCAGGAAAGAAGATACACACTCTACAAAATAAAAAAAAAAAAAATCACCTAATTCAAGACAAAAGGATAGAAACAGGAGGAGATAGGGCCAGTGGTGAACTCATAATCATGCTCTCCTTGAAGATAATACCCACAATTACAATATGTAACAATCAGCTATAGAAGAAAGCATGAGACTGTTCTTCCTTGAAGCAGTGAAATCTACTGGGGATTTGAGGGCCAAGGATTATCCCTGAGAGACTGGTGTAGGATTTCTTTTTTTATTTTTTTTAAGTTTTTATTTTTTTTTTTAAGAATTATTTAATTTTACTTATTTATCTTGACCAGAGAAGGACAGAGCAAGAGCAAGAGAGAAAGTCAGAAAGTAAGCCACCAAGTCCAGAACTCAAACCGCAGTCTGCCATGTGGGAAGCCATTGCCCTTGTCTACCATGCCACCAGCTGACCCCATGCTATAGGATTTCTAAGGATGATTCTTTCTAATTGATGTATTTTAAATGTCTTCTAGGCATCTCATTATTTCAAATATTATTGTTTCAGCAGATGCATCTTCTGTGTGATGATTTTCATCTTGGTCCTGATTGCTTTGGAATTTTTTGGAAGCCTGTCATCATTGCTGCCTACTTGGGCATTTCTGCAATTGTCATATTCATCTGGAGAGTTATCCTTCCTGTGAGTACACCAACGTGTCATATGTTATATTTGTAATCACACTAAGATGGGATGGTATAGTCACTGGTCCTTTTAATTTCAGTATGTACTATAAATGTCTCCCATAAGCACAACTTTCACTGAATATTCCACTAATTATCACAATTCCTATTTTCATTATCATTTAGACTAAAATATTTTAAATTCTAATGGAATAAAAAAAACTTACATACTGCAAAAGTGAACTTGAATGTGCATTGTTTAATCTCCAAATAGTTCCTATCTTTCGAAATATTTCATTACTGATTTTGACTTTAAGTCCATGGCGGCCTAAGAGCAAACTATACCACTTCTGGGAAGAGTGAATATTTTATGAAAGACCCAATTCTCCTTGTTCATCTCTTATCATATTATCCTCCTTCACTTGTTATTAAGCTATAATCACTAGGTAGATTGTTGTTGTTGTTGTTATTATTATTATTATTATTATTATCTGGCTAATGTTATATAGAACAAACATTTACATGACATATCAATTAAGAATTAGGTTAACTTTGGCCTTTATTTTTTCCTTCTCTAATGCTCCTCTCACTATGGAGATCAGAGTTGCTGACTTCTATTATTTGTCTTGTATAAAGAACCTCCTTTACACTTCTTGTCAGACAGGCTTACTGGAGACAGTATCACTTGATTTCTGTCTTTCTCTGAAAGTCTTTATTGCTTCTAAACTTGCGCAAGATAGAATTCTAGGTTGACGGTTCTGTGCATTTAACATTTTGTCATTCCACTTTTTTCTTAATACCAAGACTTCTGAAGAGAAGTTTCATGTTATCTTATTTTTTTTTATTCTTGGCAAAGTGTTTCCACCTCTCTGGTATCTTCTAGGACTTTTCTTTGTCTTTCACATTCTGGTCTTTGAATATTATATTACTAGGTGTTGAGTTTGTGATATTTATTCTCCTCCACTCTTCATGGGATTGTTTTTTAATCCTCAATTTTGTAAAGTTTCCAGTTATTATTGCTATAAATATATCTTGTTTCTTTTTTTGCCATTTTCATTAGGTGTTATTTATACCTTTTATAATTGTCCCACTGGCCTTGGGTATTGTGTTGTTTTTTTTAAATTTGCAAGAAGGCACTGGCCCTTGCTGGAGAG